CCTGCATCCTCGCCAACACCTGTTGTTAGTGGTGTTGCTAATGATGGCTATTCCAGAGGCAACTGCACACCCATGTTTATTGTGGCACTATTCACAATAGCCAAGTTATGGAAACAGCCAAGATGCCCCACCACTGACAAATGGATTAAGAAAATGTGGTATCTATACACAATGGAATTTTATGAGCCATGAAGAAGAACGAAATGTTATCATTCACTGGTAAATGGATGGAATTGGAGAACATCATCCTGAGTGAGGTCAGCCTGGCCCAAAAGACCAAAAATCGTATGTTCTCCCTCATATGCAGACATTAGATCAAGGGCAAACACAACAATGGGATTGGACTTTGAGCACAAGATCAAAGCAAGAGCACACAAGGGAGGGGTGAGGATAGGTAAGACACCTAAAAAATTAGCTAGCATTTATTGCCCTTAACGCAGAGAAACTAAAGCAGATACCTTAAAAGCAACTGAGGCCAATAGGAAAAGGGGACCAGGAACTGGAGAAAAGGTTAGATCAAGAAGAATTAACCTAGAAGGTAACACCCACGCACAGGAAATCAATTGAGTCAATGCCCTGTATAGCTATCCTTATCTCAACCAGCAAAAACCCTTGTTCCTTCCTATTATTGCTTATACTCTCTCTACAACAAAATTAGAAATAAGGGCAAAATAGTTTCTGCCAGGTATTGAGGGGGTGGGGGGGAGAGGAAGGGGGCAGGATGGGTGGTAAGGGAGGGAGTGGGGGCAGGGGGGAGAAATGACCCAAGCCTTGTTAGCACATATGAATAATAAAACAATAAAAATTTTTTAAAAATCCACTCGTGACCATGGAACTGTGTCAGGGGCCGTAAGGGGAAAGTTTTCCAACTGAGTCTAGAAATCTGGTCTGCGTTTCCTTTCTCTGGAGCTTCCTTAGAACAGGAAATGGGATTTTCCAGGACTCGCCGCAAGGTGGCGCCCGCCGCCCGTGGACACACGAGGTCTTGCTCTCAGGGTGGGCTCCAGAAGCCGGACCGGATCAAATAAGACCATATTCAAAGGAAAGGGATCTGCACAGGCAGAAAATCACTCTGACCAAAGAATAAAATAGGGCACGCAGAAAAGAAGGAAGACGTTCTTTTGTTAGAGATGGGGATAAGTAGCATAGAGCTACTTATAGGGGGCAATCCCCCTGTGAAAGGAGCTCAAAAAGCCAATGCTGGTGGCACGCGTCGGTAATCCTAGCTACAGTGGGAGGCTGAGATGCGAAGGCTCGAGGTTTGAGGCCAAGCAAGGCAAAAAAAAGTTCGCAAGACCCCATCTCAATGGAAAAAACTGAACATGGTGGTGCACGCCTATCATCCCATGTACGTGAAACCTAAAATAAGATCAGCGTCCAGGCCTGCCTGGGCAAAAACGTAAGACCCTATCTTCTAAATAACCATAGCAAAAAATTAGCTGGAGGCTTGTGTCGAAGCCCTGAGTTCAAGCCCCAGTACTGCCCTCCCCAACCACACCCCAGAAAAAGGAACTCAAAAGAAATTTGCCAGGCTGGGGGAGTTGTACAATGGTACCATGGAGGAAGTCCTGGGCTCAATCCCCAGCTCCACAAGGGAAAAACAAAAAGAGCAGAATTTTGCCAGGGAACCTGTTATGGAGACAAGGAGACAGGCAAGTGCAGAAAGACTAGGTGGGGTGGCTGGGAAGGGCCTGTTACAGGCTTTCAGGTGGGCGGGGGTGAGAGCTGGAGCCAAGGATTGGTGATGAAGAAAAAAATGCCTTCTGACTGGTATTGGTGCAATAAATGTGTCAATCAGCCCAACACACTTAGATAACAAGTCGAATGCATTCCATTCGGTTCTTCAGTGGGATTTCAGTTTGTCATCTCTTGCTCTTGTTGGGTTTGACTTCAGATGGATTGTGGCGATTGATGTCAGACAATATTTTCCTTTGGATATCCATATTGTGCCGCCTTTGACCAGTAGGAGCCCTTTCTAGAGTGGCTATGGATAATTTTGAATGACCCAGTCATTTAAAGCTTTGTTTTCTGACCCAACAAAGTATAGGTCTGCACCAGCCCCAGACCAGACATGGAATTAACCATCGCTCCAAAAAAACCTCAGCTTCTCTGGAGAGAAAACAACCTTGGAAATCAAAACATGGGTGTTGGTGTGCATTGTGGGGGTTCCAGTGGAAAAAAGCCCAAATACTTTTAATTTAACTTTGTTTTATTTTGTTTAACTTAATTTAGCTAATTAATTCAATTTATTTTAATTTAACTTTGTTTTATTTTATTTTCAAACTGCAGTTTTAACTCAGAGTTTCAGGCTTCTGCGAGGCAGATCTCTACTATTTGAGCCACAACCCTAGCCCAAATCTAACATTTTACACAAGCATGACTTCCTGTAACCTTGTTTGATTCAGTTATAACAGTACACTGTCCATATGCAAATAATCCCGAAAGCTAGGTTCCTGTGAAAATTAACAATTACTGACTTGCTTTATCTGGTAACTTAGGAGAGTAACTTTTTTAAATGCACTATCAAAAATAAAGTAGCATTGATATGGGGCCAGATACAATTTTGTTTTAGACTGCATACGTCTAAAGATTTGTTGCCAAACTACTGTGCTGTAGGGAGTCACACTCATAATCTCTCACACTGGCTATCTATGTCAGGACTTCTCTGAATAATAGTTTGGGTTCAGCTGTTTGCATCCATTGTCATTTTGACAAGGAGTGCAACCTGCCTCCAGATCCCACCTTTTCATTTTTCCATAAGATTTATAAACCCCCCAGGTACTAGACAATTCACCTAGTGTTACTATGTTCTTATTACTAATTACTAATATTTCCTCCTTACCATCCTGGAATGTGAGTCTCATTAGACCCTGGTAGCTGTTGCCTGAAGGTAAGACTAGGAAACCCCTGGGCTTGGTTCTGGGGGCTCAGGAGAAGCTTCTGGGTAGGCAATAGCTGAGTCCGCAGGAGACATCTGCACTGACACAGCAGAAGCCACCCTGGTTGCACCCAGATACTCCCTCCCCTCCACTACACCACTTCCCCCACCCCCATGACTGTGGGACTCAATGACAGGCTGTGGACAGAAAGCCATATTTGTGTTCAACCAGCCCCCTGGGATTTGTAACTCAGCATCTGGAAGGTTTGAGCTTCCAGAAGTGTGAGGCTGGAGCTGTGCCTATGACCAGGGTGACCATGCTCTTGGTTCACTCAGAACAGTCCCAGGTTACCGCTGTTAAAATCACCAAAGGCACTCCTGTCTACTCACTAATGACCTTTTATTTTTGCAAACTGAGTATATGCTTCCAGTTGAGTTGAAGTATACAATTAACACATCTTCATAGAAGAGACAACACAGAAGCACACAAATAGTACAAAGGCAAAGCTCTTCAGCAATTGCATACTCTTGGAGAGAGCCCCCCACCCCATGTCTACTTGAGACCCCACCAGGTGGAGATAGAGTGAGGGCCTCTATTGTAAAGAAGAGAAACCCACAGGATGGCTGGACAGGTCCAGGAAATGGAAGGGTCCAGGAAGTCTCCTGAGCTGGGAGGTGGTGGGGCTAAAACCTGAGGTACAGGCCTTGCTCACCAGTCCTTCGTCCCTCAAGAAACTTCTCTGACCTTGGCTCTTTTCTTCACCTGGAGGGGGAGAGGAATGGGAAGGGGCTTCCAGAGGTGGATTGTAGATGGATGGACTGGAAGGGACTGAGGGCCTCTGAATGAGCTGTCTTCAGGAAAAGAGTGTCCCCATGAGATTTCCCCAGGGTCCTCAGGGGCACCCTGGCCAGGTTAAGCTGTTGCCATCTGGCTTCCTTGGGGGTTTTGTGGGAGGTGGCACTGGGGGTTGACCCTGGGGGTCTTGTGATTGCTAGGCAAGCACTGTACCACTTGAGTCACAACCCAGTCCTTTTGCTTTTAGTTTGCTTCTCAGAGAGGGCCTCATGGTGTTGCCCAGACTGGCATGGGATCAAAATCCTCCTACCTCCTCCTCGCAAGTATCTGGAATACAACCATGCACAGCTGGGGTTTCTGTGGGGCCAGAGGCTACCACCCACCCAGGCAGTTGGTGGTCATTGACTCCAGGGGGCTGTATGCGGATGACTGAGACGCTCTTCCCTCACCCCAAGTGCCCCCACTCTCCTTCCCCAAGGGGTCCTTTCGACCTCTCTGAATTCAAGACTGATGATGACACTAGAGATCATTTTTGTCAGCAACCAAAAAGATTACCCAGGGAGACTCCTTTTCATTTCTACCTCTGCACTTTCCCAACCCCACAGGGAAAAAGGAGCACAACAGTTACCTGTTAGTGATCTCCCTGTGTTCTACACCACATTCCACCTGCAGGCCTCAGTACACACTCTCCATGCTCCACAGCGAATTTCAGGGGTCCACAGTGTTTGTGCATGTCCCATTTTCAGTATGGTCACCTACCATAGAACTTGCTGCATCATCCGTCTCTGTACAGGACTTGGCTTGACATAAATCAACTCTGTAGCTCCCATGCTTCCTCTCCGCTTCAAGGATCCCCCTGGGAATGTGGGACGCCTGAGTCCAACAATGTGTCATCTATGATCACTTGTTTCACAGTTATAGCCTGCTGTCCTTAGAGCTAAACCCGTCACAGTACACGGTGCCACCAGTTTCCCAACAGCCCTGCAGGTGGTAGGTGTGGAGAGAGAAAGGGCATTGCACAGGTGTACTTGATTCCCATTACAGATAAGGACACTGAGGACTGGAGGGATTAAGTCACCTTCCCCAGGGTCACTCAGTGGGCACATGGCAGCTCTGGGTCTGGAAGTCACATCTTCTGAACCCTCATCAGATCTCTGTCAGCCATACCACTCTGCTCTGACAGTTGCTGCTAGGCATGGGCCCAGAAGGCTCTTCTTACTTCTCTGTCCTTTCTCCATGGAGGAAAACAGCTCTACCCTCTTGGGTTCTGGGTCCTGGGTCCTGAAGACCAGGCTGTCACTCCATCTGGGCATTTCCCCAACTCTGCTAGATCCAGGTCCTGAAGAGCTCCTCAGAAGACAGCACCACCATGGAACAGGCATCCACCTCTTCCCTTCTACAGATAATTAGCTTCTGGGATGAACTGGTTATTTTCTGAAAATTAATTTTCATCAAAAATCATTAGTGTTACTTTATAGTACTAGTGAGAATAAAGAATATCATAAAATCTCAACTATTTGATTAAGTTTCAAGCAACAATAACAAAAAAAAAATCCCCAAGACAATACAACCCCTAGACTAGTGACTTCCAGCATCTACTGAGATCATCTCCCAGTTAGCCAACCCACAAAAGCCCAGATGTGATTCTGGTCTCCCCACCGCCCCAAAAAAAAATCTACCCTCTTCCATCAGAGAGCTTTGACAATGATCTAGTCAGAGGTTTTATGAACAGCATCTAGACAGCTCCCAATCCACAGAGTACAGCCATCACCTACAATAAAGTCATAGATGTAGACATGTAATGTTTCATCCATACAGATAATTTTTTGTGGTACTGGGGATCAAACTGAGAATCTTGTGCATGCTAGGCAAGCATTCTACCACTGAGCGACATTCCCAGCCACATGCAGATAAACACAAGCTCAGTAGGAATTTCTAAAGAATTGGCAAGTATGTCTGATTGATAATTTGCCATGATTTAATTGAGCAGATGAATGGATTTTACAAGAATGGCTGGAAATCACTTTTTCACAGTTTTGCAGGACTACGTATAAGTAATGCAAATATTGGAGTGCAGAGGCAGTGCTAAGTCAGGCTGTGTGATACACAGCCCCTAGTGTGTTTGGGATTCAATGGGTGCTAACAATCTCTTTCCCACACAACACTGTGAGAACTGCATAGACTCTGACAGGTTGTCACTCTGACAATCTGGGATAAACAGAACACAGGTTACAAAAGCCTTATGGGAAGGAGCATGTAGGAACAGACATCAGAATTACGAAGGAAGGATGGCAAAGGAGAACAGAGAAGCAAAACGTGTTCAAGGACAGAGATATCTATTCACTGTAGATGACAGAGGCCATATTGTCATAAAACCTTCTTGTCTCTGGTCTCTTCTAAGCTTTTGGCTTTTTCCAAAAACTGATTTTGAGGTTGTGACTCACAATACATTAGAACTCCTAACGAGGTCTTGTCAGTTCAGGATTCTTCTTATATACTTGAAATTCTATAATAAATGAGCCTGTTACATAGGGTTTATTTTTTCCTGCCTCTTTTCTGTTCTGGAAAGATCCTCATACTACCTCATGCTGAGGAAGAGGGGAAATCTCTCCTGGCCTCTGGATAAAGAACCAGAAGAGAAAAAATGATGGGGAGTGTTAGAAACATAATAGCCTGTGAGCAGGGAATAAGCATGGTCACTAGAGTGAAGAGAGGAATCAAGAAGGGTAACTGATTGGAGAAGCCTCCTTCAGGAAGGCTGACTTTTTTATGCGGGGGGGAAAAAAGCTAGTATTTCCCAGTCCCTTTAACCAGAAGTTGCTATAGGCCAGGTGTGATCGTGCATACCTAAAATCCTAGCTAATCTGGAAAGGGAGACAGGAAGATCCCGGTTCTTCTTGGCCTATAGGAAGAACTGTCTGAAAAATAACTAAACCATAAAGGGCTGGACGTGTGGCACAAGTGGTAGAGCACCTACCTAGCAAGTGTGAGGCCCTGAGTTCAAAACCCAAAGAAGGCGGAAGAGACATAAGAATTATGTACTACCAAAGGAGAAGGAAGAGGGGGGAAAGTGGAGGGAGAGGAGGAGAAGAAGAAGATTGTTACTATGGTTTGAATGTGTCCCCTAAAAAGCATGTGTTGGAAACTGACTCCCCAGTGTGACAGTGCTGTGGTGGGATCTTTGAAAGGTGATTAGGCCATAAGGGTTCTCCCTCATGAATAATTTAATGCAGATTACGGAAAGGATTTAGACTTGTAGCTTTTCAGCTACAAGTCTGATCTTTTGCTTTCTCACCCACGTGATGCCTTTGGCCATGTATGACACAAGAAGAAGGCCCTCAGCAGATGTGGCCCTTTGATCTTGGCCAGCTGCCAGAATGAGTCATGAGTCAAGTGAACTTCTGTTGTTCATAAATTACCCAATCTGTGGTATTCTGTTAGAGCTGCAGAATGGACTAAGACAGAAGTGTAGTCCTCTCTCCTCCCTGCAAATCCCTATAAACCCATGCAAAGTGTACCCATGCCCGGCTATGCCCGTCACATCTGGTCAGTGTCAAAAAGAATACTCTTACCAAGGTGTCTGGGAGGACCACCATGGGGCAGCAGGAGTACCGGAGCAGCTGACCCATTTTCCAGATGGAGAACGGCACAACCACGAGGATAAGCATGAAGCCAACAAAGGCAAACAGGGCCAGTGCCAGGGGGAGAGACTCTCCTGAGACAGAACAGTAAGAACAGGCTTAGGAAACACAGTGAGGCGGAGATGGGCGCCCATGACTCTCTACCTGTAATCCTAGCTACATGGGAGGCTGAGATCAGGAGGATCACGGTTCAAGGCCAACTCTGGCAAATAATTCAAGAGACCCCATGTCCAAAATAACCAGAGCAAAACAGACTGGAATTGTGGGGCAACCTGTAGAGTGCCTGCCTTGCAAACATAAAGCTCTGAATTCAAACCTGAGTCCCACCAGGAAAAAAAAACAAAAACAAAAAATGTCCTTCGTTTCCTGGAGTCTACTCTGCACCTTGCCAAGGTGTCAGGTGCCAGCACCATGAGATCTGATGTGTGTCCTGGTGACTAAAATCGGTACCATTTTTTAGACCCAAATTAAGGTGTTGTTTCTAGAAAGCCTTGGGGAAGATTGCAATTATCTTTCTTGGGAAAGAGAGGGAGGAGCATCCCATTTGAGGCACTAGCCGTGTCAACATGTACCAGGCACTGCTGCCAGAGGAAGGCAGGGTGCCAGGCCCAGGAGGAAGGGGAGGTGCTGAAGCAGAACAGCACAGAACAGGGCTGGGCAGGGACCGAAAACAAAGTGTTTCCCAATTTGATCTTGGTACTGATTTATATTCTGGAAGAAATACTGAGTCCAGAAAACAGTCACATAATGACTGTGATATATCAAGCCCCTGTCGTGTGTGTCAGGGCTACTTCCTCTTTCTAGCACTCTGCTAGGGACTGGACGTGCGGCCTCTGCTCTTCATACAGGTGAGTATCCCTTTTACAAAAGAGGATTCTGTGCTCAGAGTGGTTAAGTGACTTTCCCCAGGTCACACAGGTAGGGATAGCTCCCAAAACCATGGTCATTCTACTGAATACATATAGCAGAGTCAGGTCTGAGCATCTGGAGATGGCAAAGCGGGCATGGGTTATTCCCCCATCTCCATTCTGTGTAACTCAAGCAATTCACTGTCTCTCTGAACTGGGCTGTTCACCCCTAGCGTGAAGAGAAACTCTACCAGTGAGGTCATGAGGCCATGGAGAAGCTGGAAGAGTCACACATGTGGTTGGAGCCTGGGCTTTGATTCAATGCTTTTAGAAAATATCTTGGCAGTGTACGTTAAGAGATATGCAAAAGTTCATACCCTTTCAATTCACTTCTGTGATTTTAATTCTAAAAAAAAATCATTCCTAAGAAAGAAGCGATTCTATGCATCATCATACAGTTCAAAAGATAATTCAGACTTGGAGCAACAGCCTCCTTAACTGGTCACGCCTCTGCCCCACGGCGCCCTGCCTCTCCCACCATCCCCGGTGTGTCCCGGTGCAATTTCTTCCCAGCATCTGCCGCCCAGGGAAGTCACCTCATTTACTCGCTCATCTGTAGTCTGTCTCCCAACTAGAGGGAAGGTTCCCTGAGGGCAGGGGCTTCCATGCAATATCCCAGTGCACAGCCCAGAACTTGGCTGAGGCAGTGTGTAATGGTGCGGAGCTACAGCAGGTGTCCATGTGTGGATGATAACCTAAGGGTCATAGCTCCATGGAGGGCAATGTGGAGTCTGATCAAAATTAAATGTGTGTGCCTTTGACCAATCCTCTCTACCTTCAGTAATTTTTCCTTCATATCTGCATAGGTCTGCAGCATGATCTACGTACAAGGAAGTTAATTAACGCATTGGCTGTGAGAGCAAAATAATTGGGAAAAAAGACAAATGCCCATCTATAAGAGACTGGTTAAATTAGTTTTTATGTATACATATAACAGAATAGTGCACAGTGGTGAAGTAGGTTGAAGGACTTTCTTTATTCATATGCAAAAATTTATAAGACACGTAAGTGAAAAAGGCAAGATCCAGAACAGGGCATGGAGTATGACCATTCGTGCTGAAAAGAAGGGAGATGATAGATAGATGATAAATGACAGATAGATAGATAGATAGATATGATAGATAGAAAGATAGATATCATAGATAGATATGATAGATAATAGATCAATTGATCTTCATGTACTTTTATATGCATTAAAAGTCTTCAGAAGACTATATAAGAATCTCACACCTATGGGACAGGGCATGGGAATGATATGGATGGAAAGAGGTGTGGAAAAGAAAAACCCACATATATCTTATATGTTTGAACCATATGAATGTACTACTATACATTCAAAATGTTAATTTTATGTAAGTACTGGTGTTTGAGTGGCAGGATCGTGGAATGTAGGGTTTTGTTTCTGTTCACAGAGTTTTTAAACATTGTAGGTTTTCAGGCCATAAAAAAAATTACGGGAGAAATTAAATCAAACAAGAGGACTCCATAGATGCTACAAGGTCCCTTCCAGATGAAAGGAGCTGTGACATTACACCACATGGTACCTGCTTATGAGTCCTGACTCCAGAGCCCCTGGCTGCCTCTCCTGAAGACCCCTCTGATTACAGGCAGCAACCCTCGGGGAAGCCATCTCTGAAGTACCTGACCCAGGAGGGGAAGCTTTGGGGAAAGTGCTTCAGACAGGTGCCCATGAAACCCACGCCGCAGCCCCAGGGTAGGTCCTCCTCTAGGAAAGTTAGAGTAACCTCAGAACCCACCTACCAGGTCAGTGAAGCCAGGGGGAGGCTCAGAACCAAAGGCACCCAGCAGACCTTGAAGCACGCACCAAGAAGGCTGTCCCCCGGGCAGGGGTCCCAGGACAGGCAGATGTCCTTACCTTGCACCTCCACACATTCCACCTGGCTGAAGGCGCTGTACCTCCTGATGGCCTTCACCCGGGTCTGGGCCCTCACACAGTATGTGACCCCTGGCTGCATGGTTTCCAGAAGCACAGGAGAACCCCCACTCCTCACCTCTTTGATGTGTTCCTTAGGAAGAGCAGAGACACGGTTACTCCCTGAGGATGGCAGGACTGGAAAGGGCGAGGAGAGCCAGGGAGGGGGCCATGACAGATAGTTCCTTCCCAGGAACGGACAGAACATTCCCTCTCATTTATGCATGCACGCAATTTCTTACCATCATTCATGCTAACTAAGCACCTAAGATGAGCCGGGCACTTTTCCAGGCACGGGGACATAGCCCTGAACAAAACAGACAAAATCCCTTTCTCGCAGAGCTAACACGGGGGAGACAAACGTGTACAAAATACATGTTAGGTAATGATAAGGGCTGTGAAGAAAAAGGCAAGACAAATGCAGTAGAGTGCCAAGCAGGCATCATGTCTTAAAAACGGGGTTGGGGCTGGACGTGGTGGGGCATGTCTGTAATCCCAGCACAGGAGGTAGAGATAGGCCGATCTTGCTCAGGGAGAGGCTAGCCCTGTACAAAAATCATGAAATCCTGTCTGAAAAATAAACTAAAACAAAAAGGGTTGGAGTCATGTCCCAAGTGGTAGTGTGCTTGCACCGAGTAAGTGCAAGGTCCTGAGTTCAAACCCCAGTACCACCACCAACAAAAACAAAACAACAAAACACAGGTGTTTGGGAAGAGTCTTTCTGACAAGCTAACATTTGAATAGTGCCTGAAAGCTGGACATCTAGCTGAGCAGGGGCCTGGCATGACCACTGCTTCCAAGAGATAAGTACAAAGAGTAGAGAGGCCGGTGGGCCATGCCTCCTCACTAGTCTATCCATCCACCTGTCTGTCCTTCCATCTGTCCTCCCTTCCACCTCCACCCCACTCCCCCAGGTCTATGTCCACATCTGATCCTGTAAAGGCCTGTCTGGGCCCACCCCAGATGACTCAGGGTTTACCCTCCTCTCTCAGCAGCGTACCTGCCAGTCACAAGAGCGGGGAGTAGGCTCCATCTCAAATAATCCTGCCAGGTCCTGTCCTGTTCCCTACCCAACTCCATCTGCCTGGCTGGTGATGCCTTCTCCTACCAGTGGGCCCTGACCCAGCAGGGTAAATAGGGGCCCTGGTGTTGCTGGTTCCAGCTGCTCACATGGCCTTCCAGACAACACTACACAACCTACAGCCCCTGGTAAGGTTGTGCAGGGGTGTGTGCTCTGCCCTCTGACACTGCTATGTGACCAGGACGGGTCTGCTCAGAGGCCTGCTGGCTGCCTGCAGCCCCTAATAAACCAGTGTGGACAGTGGAATTCCTCTCCTAAGCACTAGAATTCCTTCAACTGGAAGTGGGAACAAAGGGGAGAGGATCCAACAAGGAGGGTCAGGCTGGGAGGCCCAGTCACAGGCATGTGTGGGACTGGATGATACAGCCTGAGAGTGAGGGGGGAGAGCACCAAGGGAAGAGGACCATCTGAGGGCAGCAAGGCCTCCACTGGCCGGGGCCCCTGGGTAGGTGAGGCTGTACTGCCACCTGAGCCCATGTTGCCTATGACGCTTGCTCCTGTGAGAGGCCATATTGCACCATATTAATTCTAATGAGAAAGCCAGTTTTCCTTGCACAGACTGGAGTGGGCCTCTGGGCCTTGTCACTATAGGGGCTTGGACACTCCGCAAAGCAGTGTCCCCTAACTCCTGCTCAACCTCCGCCCCTTCTCCTGCTTGTTTGGCCATTCCCTCCGTGAGGGGTGGCCTCCCACTCACCCCAGACTACAGTGACCTTCCCACGGGGAGGGGCAGCTCCTCTCTGGGCTTTGTACATGGTCCACAAGCTCGTAATTAGACGGGCGTATTCATAAGCCAGCTCCTGGCTCACTGCCCCACTTCTGCACTCTGCCAAGATACACAACCTTGAGAGGCTTGTACCCGCCTCACATGCTCCTAAAGTCATCTGGTCAGTCTGGAACACCCTGGCCTGCTGCCTGTGAGTGGCTAAGACCAGCCAATAGGGGAGAAAAAATGCACTGGACATATATTAGGGGTCCGATTAGACTAGAGTTGAGGGCAAGGAAAGAGTCCCCAAACTTCAGCAGATCTGGCCTGAAAAGACTCCAGCCAAGGCCTGAGATGGATCAAGACAATTCTTGGAAGGAGAGGCATACTCTTATCTTTCCTTCCTCATCTTCACCCAGAACTGCTTGTCCCAGGCCTCGAGCACCGCAGGGTGGCTGTCCTCCCCCACCCTGGGAAAGCCATGCCTCCGTCTCCCAGGCCTGATTCAGAGGCCAAGGTCAGAAGCCTCACCTTGGCTCCAGGCTCCCTCCTCCAATAGGCCACGAGGAACTCGAACTGGGGCCCCAGGTCTTCCACTTCAATAACCAAGTGGAAGCCATCCTTAGTGACTTCCATCCTGGGTGGGGTGAGAATGGCTGTTGGCAAGACAAGGGAAGAATCAAAGCCAGCTCCAGACAGGACTGATTTCCCTGGGACACAGTGACCATGCCAAGGGTGGAAATATGGCAGCCCTCAAGGGCAAAGGGGGTGGGGGGTCACATAGTTTCACAGCACATGGGAACGTGTACACAAATACTCTCCTGTAGTCAGTCAGTGCTCATAAAATGCTTTTTGATGGTAAATGAATGGAAAATAAATGACAAAGAGTTACTATAATTCCTTTTCTCATCCCTTAACTACAATAAACTCTTCTGTTCCTTCTCTGGGATTAAGTACTCAAGAAGACATCATCTCTTTCCCTTTTGAAATTGTGTGTTCCGTGCTCCTCTCCCCACTACCCTGTCCTAGCAGAAATCACTTTTCACCTTGACTCACCTAATGAGCAGATGCTGTGTCTTATGTTTGTTGAAAACCTGCCCGAGCTCCATGCTTAGCACAGCTGGGCTAGTCTTTGCTCCTTCGGAACATACATAGCTGGTGGGGACACATGCATCCTTATATAGCTCACATAGATCAGTGGCAGGTGCTGGCCCCTGATGGCTTTCAGACATCAGCAGCAGCCTATGGATAGCTTGGCCCTTCTATTTTTGGCCCAAGGATTTTTTTTCACCTCATATTCTGGCAAGTGAGAGGCTTTTTACAAATTTTGACAATCAACTTTAGAAATTACAGCCTAAGCACACACACCATTTTTCACAGTGCTGGGTCCCACACAGAGAGGCCAGCAGCTCCTGTGGACACCTTTGTGCCAGCAGGCCAAGAACAGAAGGTCCCACTCAGGCAGCCTCTACTCCCTGGCTACTGCTGTTGACGGAGTCACGCTGGCCTTGCAGATCAAAACACTGCGGGACCAGAAGGGCCACTCACTTGCTGGTCTTGGCTTGGGAAGTGGGATGGAGTTGCGCGCTGGGCTAAATATCAGTGGACACTCAGAAGAAAGGCAATTCCTAGAGGGAGATTTCAGAGAGCAAAGCATTTCCCTTTGCTTCCTAGCCTGGGAAAATATGTGCCTAGGCACTGGAGAACTGCCTGGGTACAGGACAGGAAGGCTTGGGAAGTCAGGCCAACTGTGCAAACACACCCAGTCCAGTCATAGTACCACAAGCCCTGCCTCTGAAACACCTCCAGACGGAAAAGAGATTTTTGAGTTGCATATGATGAGAATCGGGTCCTCTGATCTCTGTCTTTATTGAGGACAAAGTTACAGAAAAAGACCTGAAGGAGCCAGGCATGGTAGCAACACCTATAATCCCAGATATGCAGGAGATGGAGATGGAGGATCACTGTTGGAAGCCACCCTGGGCAAAAAGCACAAAACTGTATCTAAAAATACAAAAAGAGTTAGTTGGATGTGGCTCAAGTGGCAGAGCACTTGCCTAGCAAATTCCAGGCCATGAATTCAAACCCAGTACCACCAAAAAAAAAAAAAAAAATGACCCAAAGTTTCAGTTTAGACAAGAACTTTTTGACAGTGTTGGAGCAGAAACCTCTGTCCTATGCACTCTGCATACTGTCTCATTTTAACCCGCCCAGGAAGCTTAAGAAGGTAAATACCATTCCTGTTGTACAGAGAGGTACGGGAGCTCCTCTACTGCAGAGCTTAAAACAGGACTTTCATATGCCTGAGAAGTCCAAGGGCTTTATCCAAACAGAAAAGGACAGACAGAATGTCCTTAAGAGATCACGATGCCACCCCAGCTTGGTTTCTGATTCCACTGCACAGGGGTCCTCAGGAGTCCATCTTCTGCCCCCTGATGCATGTACAATCTCCTGACCCCAGCTCTTCCAGCAATGAGACATTTTCCTGTTTATGCGGGCCTCTTAGGCACCCACTTCACTGCCCTGCCACACCCACATAGTTCTGTAGGAACTTCCCTATCTCCATCTGCTCAGCCTTCCCTCCAACAACAGCTGCCAGCCCCAACAGGGGTCTTGGCTGGAGTCTCATGCTGCCAGGTCCCAGTGGGAGTGCTGCAGAGTGCCGCCTGGGCACTGTGAGCAGACGCAGAGTTCCAGTGCCCTCCGGTGTCCCTGAGACACTGCCCTCAGGGCCTGTACTAAGGACCCTGCCACTTCAACCACATCCTCCCAGTGCCTGGGAAGGTGACAGAGGAATCTACTTTCTGCACCAAAATTCCTATTGCATTCCATTCCAACGGTCTGTTCCTGCCCCACCCTTCCCTCCTCTGCTCTCCGGCTCTCAGTCCTGGGCATCCCTAGGGCAATAATGATAACACCTCCTAACAGTGCTGTGACAGGGTAGTACTGCTGCAAACACGTTCTGTCTCATGTGGACCTCACCACTAGCCAGGGAGGCAAACGGTTGCCCATCCTACAGAGGAGGAGGCAGGGACCTGCTACCAAGTGGCCGGGCTGGGATTTGAGCCACATGCCTCTGACTTCACCGAGCCAACTTCCCTTTCAAAGCTGTCTCCATCTTCCTCAGCCTCTTCCAGCTTGGGCTCCTCCGCCTTCTAAACCCTCCTGATCTCTGCCCAATATCACACACTCCTCAGTAACCTCAACTTGTCCCATGATGGCAGATGCTGCAGATCCTTTGGTCCTCACTCAAACCAGAGGATCTTCTGCCATATCAAGAAAACAGAGACCGCTCAAGGCACTGCGCTTGCCCTTTCTGCAACTCTAAACTGGTAGCATTCCTGCCCATACCTGCCTCAGTGGAGGCGCTGCCTTGCTCTTCCCACCTCTCTCAGTCTTCCACCCCAACAAGCAGACTGTCCATTCCATGAGGTCACTTTTTCAAGAGCCATCCAGGGTCTGCTGTTCTTCCTGCATGACCTACTTCCTAGCTACCTGCTGGTGTCTTTCCCTCCATCAACATTTTAAACCCTGAGGCTTACCAGGACCTGTCCTGAGTCTCTTTGTCCCCCCATATGTTGTCCTGGATAATCTCATCCACTCCCAAGCCTTTAATTACTAACTCTGGGCTGTGTGTCTGGCGTTGACCTCTTGAGCCCTGGGACTTGATTTCCAGCTACCAGTCAGACATCCATCGCATGCTATCTTACAGGAACCTCAGTATTTGTTTGCTTGTTTGTTGGTTGGTTGGTCTTTTATTGGGGGAGAGAAAGCTAGCTCTTCCAATTTGAAATGGACATAAATTGTAACTTCTTTTCTCTTTTTTCTTTTGGGCGTACTGGAGTTTGAACTCAGAGCCTTGGACTTGCTAGCCAAGCACTGTACCACTTGAGTCATAACTCCAGTCCTAACTTGTCATTTTTTGAATAGCAATGTTGATAGTTGTGCTGATGTCCACAGCCTTCTCTGATGGCTCCAAATTATGGTTCAGAAGTTCCAAAGATGCTGCTTTAGTAAAGATTTATTAAAAATTTGTGTGATCAGTGACAGCTGGACACCCACTTCACTCTACTACAACGCAGATAATGCTAAAAACCAACATACTGGGGCATGCCACCAAGGGTGTCACTGTCCCTACAGAGGAAGCTGAATCTCAAAGAGCATAAAGACAGAGTGTTTTCCATTTCTCAAGACCACTTACTCCTCCTGGACTCTCTGCACTGGATGGTGTTCTCACCAACCCCAGTCAGAAGCTAGACACCATCATTGTCTCTCCCAACTCCACCACCCAAAACTGGTTCCTGAACTCTGTCCTTTCTAACTCAGCCATGTCTCCTGAATTCATTCTCTACTCTGCAGCTCTTTCTCCATTCTTGGATCAGGACCCATTTTGGTTATAACTGGAGAGTTACAACCCCCTCCTCACTTTTCCCTGACCCTACAGACTGGCCCTACTCAAGGTCACTTTTCACATCGGGCCAGAGTGGTCATGCTGTAGGACAGACCTGATCTAGATCCTCAACTCTTCTGTGACTTGATCAAGCTTCATGTCAAAGCCCTCACCATGTGGCTAGCTGCTTCCTAACCCCTCCCCACCCAGTCCTTGCTTCGCTGTTCCTCAAACACACTCAGCCTTTTACACACTAGCCATTTCTTGCACTCAGCCATATTTGGCCAGCCACCTTCCTGGATTCTTCTCTTATTTTTCAGTCATTTTGTAGGTACTACAGAAAAGTTACCTCACAGGATCCATAGAAGTGTTTCTGGTGGTTATTAAAAGTATAGATTCTTTTTTTTTTTAACAATAAGCTGTTCACAGGCAGCAAATGAAGGGCTCATGAGGCACCAGGTGGGAGGCAGTATAAGACTTATGGAGGTATGATTAGGGTAGGAAAAAGTCCTAGTGCCACCACCCTACCTTCTAGGTCACCAATGTCTCTACTATCTGCAAACCATAACAGGGATAGTCAGGAATGACCTTAAAGCCAAAGGACAGGAAACAGACAGCAGGTGAGACACAGTCAGAAATTTTTAAAATATACCAGGAAGGGAAGTTTATGTTCACAAACCACCTGCCGACTTTGCAAGACTATTTCGACGCTAAACAGGGTTGTGACAGTCTAGGCAAACATGGTTCCTAAAGGGGAGAGTGATGAGGGCAGAGGAGGAAGACAAAATGGACCTTACTTGAGTTTCGATTAAAGGGGTGCTTCAGAGTGCTCCAGGCTGAGCTCTGAGAGCCCAATGTGGCGCTGACACGGAGGTTGTACGGCACTGTGGCAGTGATGTCATCCGTGACGTCACACTCTGGACCTTCGGTGGGTGAGCACCAGCTGCTAGGGATCCAGATGTGGCTCATGTACAAGCTCTCGTACTCCCTGGCCAAGGACAGGAGGGCACAGTGTCACACCAGCAACTTTGGCTCAGGTTCAAACATGGTTGTGAATAACTGCCTTCAGTCTCCTACTTTTATGGGTCAGAAAAATAAGCATTTGCTCCCCACCCACCCCAGTGCCTCCACTATCCTCCCTCACCAGCCATCCATTCTTCCTTCCTCCTTTTATCACCAGCCAAAAGAAACATGGGCATAAATCCCAATCTCAGCCGCCACCATGCCTTGTCCTGCTGGGGTCTCCCAGCTTCTTCAGACCACGAACGTGCAGCAGATCATGACATTTCTGTCTTAATGGCTTCCTTGAACACTTGGACTGGACTCCAGTCTCCTCTCCATGACCTGCAAGACACTGGCTTCTGTCTCACCCTTTCCCTAAGAATGTTGTTCTTATCACAGTGACCTACTTCATTCCTTCAAGATGCTCGTTTCTTTCTGCTTTAGAACCTTTGACTAGTGTCCATTCTGCCTCCAATGTCTGCCCTATTGCTCATATGGCTGTCCTCTTGTCCTGCAGATGGGACAGAAGAATCACCTCTTCAGAGAGGCCTTTCCCAGCAGAGTCAGTGCCTCATCCCATCAGCCATATAGCTTCCTTGTGGCACTGACCAACATCTGCTGGTGCTTTAGAGTGCTGCTGCCCAATAGAACGTTCTGTGGCGATGGAAATGTTCAGTATGGTAGCCAGTAGCCATGTGTGGCTATGGAGCATGTAAAATAACGTGGCTGGAAATCAGATGTTTTCACTCAATTTAATTTAAACTTAAATACACATCTGTGGCTAATGGATACCTTGCTGGAGAATGCAGACATAGTGTATCTACCATCTGTCTCTCCTCTAGATAAGGAGATTCCTATAGCCAAAAATCTTGTCAGCTGTGTGAACCTCGAAGAATGTCTATATCTGAAGGTGCTCAGTTTATATTCACTGTTAATGAAATATATTGAGCATCTTCTCTGTCACTGTCACTTCTCAACAGTTGCAAGTACTTGGACACCAGGAGAAGATTAGAGCCTGGTTGACCTTTACTGTCAACATTTGTTTTGGTTTCTAGTTATATGCTCATAGTCAGGAAAACTGATCCAAAGGATCTGGCTGCCCAGATTTGTCCATCTTAAGGCAGGGTCAAACTATTGGACCACTGACTCCTGTTGAAAAGAAGCTGCACCAAAGTGTATTTATACACATTTGTGGTCCAAGAGTTCACCGTCAAGTCCACAGGAATTTCCTTTGCTTCTTCTGCTCTCCCAGGGTCCATGCACACAGAGGGGGCAGATGACAGAGACTCCTTGAGCTGAATAGGAGGGGCTGTTCATTAAATACTGTCTAAGGGAGAAAAACTATTTTAAAAAGCCAAACAAAACTTACCCCTGATACTCCACAAAATAGTATACTGTCTCTCCAGGCAGGATCACTGGGCTCCACGTCAAGAGATGCTTCATGTTGGTTGAGTGAACAGAGAGGTTCTGTGGGGCAGGTAGAAAGGCCGCTGTATCTGGGATAAGGCAGACAGAGAGGCTGATAGGTAGGCTGACAGTGGAGAATGCACAGCTTCAAATTAGCATCTAATAAAAGGCCTCACAGAGTTATAAACCAGAACAACTCTAATTCTATCATACTTGTGTTGATGCTAATTTTTCTCATTGTTGTCATTGTGCCTTTGTGATAAAATGGCATATTAGTAGTAAAAATGGCTAATCTTTAGGGAGCACTGGTCATATTCTATTTAGGCCATAGGCTAGATTATTTTGGGATTATCTCATTTAAGTCTCATGAACATGCTGTGTATTGGGACCATTAATTAGTCCCCCCCAATATACAAGGGAGAAAACTGAGGTACATTATCTGTTCTGCATGTGTTCATTTGTTTATTTGGTTTAACAAACACATAAAAATAAACACCTACAATGGGGAACCCATTTGATGTTTGCACACATGTATACATGGTATAATTTCAAATCATAAGCATATCCCTTCAAACATTCTTTTGTAGTAAAAACATTCAAAATCCCTTCTTCTAGGCTTTTAAAAATATACATTTTCATTATCTATAGTGACTTTATTGGGCAATAGAATAGCACAATAAGTTCTATATACCTACAATTTAGTACCGATTGACCAAACTTCTCCTTCCCTCCCGCTACCCTTCATTCTCTCCCCAGCCTCTGCTAACCACCATTCTATTCCAAACCTCTATGAAGTTAACATTTTTGATCCTCGTGTGAGTGAGAAATGTGGTATTTGTCTCTCTGTGCTTGGCTCATTTTACTTAACCTAATGTCCTTCAGTTCTATCTATGGTGCTGCAAATGACAGGATTTCGTCCTTTTTATGGCTGAATAGTGTTCCATTGTGTGCATGTACCACATTTTCTTTATCCATTCATCAGTTAATGAATGTTTCCATGTCTGGGCTATTGTGAAGAGTGCTGCAGACGTCTCTTTGACGTGCTGATTTCACTTCCTTTGGATATATGCCAGAAGTGGGATAGCTGGCTCATGTGGTAGTTGTATTTTTAATTTTTTGATGATGCTCCATTCTGTTTTCCATAATGGCTGTAGTAATTTACTTTCCCAATAACAATGTGCTAGTGTTCCCTTTTCTCCACATCCTTGCCTACAGTCGTTACCTTTCATCTTTTTGATCAGAGCCATTCCTTTTTTTTTTTCTTGCACTGCTGGGGTTTGAACTCAGGGCTTCCCACATGCTGGACAAGCGCTCTACCACTGAGCCACATCTCCAGCTGATAAAAGCCATCCTTCCTGGGATGAGGTGACACCTCGTCGTGCTTTTGATTTTCGTGCCCTTGATGATTAGTGGCATTGAACTTTTCATATACTTGGCCATTTGTATGTCTTTTTTTTTTAAATGTCTATTTCTGTGTATTATTCACTTGTAAGTATTTATTTATTTATTTAATCCCTTTTTTTGCCACTAAGACCCCTATACCATGAGACACCTTGTTTGTGACTCTAATGTCAGACAGAGCTGGATCCAGGCCTTGTCTCAGCCATGTTCCATGTCACCTTAAGCATCAACCTGAGCCTCCCGCCCTTCATGATAAACCTTTGTCAGCTTTTCATCATGTCCCTCTCCTGTCACTGGCATCCTTGGGTACCAAAACAAATCCCTTCATGACCCCTCACAAGGCCAAATGGGGCACCACCTGCCAGGGGAAGTACAGACTCAGGCCTGCTGTGCAGAGACTCCAGTCAAGACAGTACCAATCAAGCCAGGTCAGAGATTCCTCCCCAGGAAGACAGCAAGCCCACGAGCCTATCTGGGACATGAGCATCTGCTCACATAGGTGTGTCCAGAGTGTGCACACAGCTGGTCTAGAGTTTGCACAGAAAGAAAAAGACCTATGAAAGTGGGCCCTGCACTCCTAAGGACTTTGGGCAGCTCAAACCCCAGCATCACGTGTAACTATGAGGTGTAGTCTGGACCCGCTTCTGTGGCTTCCACATGTTCCTCTGTTAAAGCCCAACCTGCCTCCCTTTGCTGTTACAGTCACAGTGATAACATCAGCAGCACGTGGATGGAGGGGCACCCGGGGTCCTTGTCCAGGATTTTCCATCCCTGCACCTGTTTCCAGATTAGCACCTGCTGTTTGTTTAAGCCCTAAGACTGCAAAGGAATGTGGTGGGAGGGCTTCAGGGGATACTTTGTCTTGTTTCCTTGCCTCCTGTCTTATGTAGGAGCCTGGTGATGTACTTTCCTCTTATCCTGCCCTGTGAGTGAACACCTGGGGCACCTACAGCAAGGTTTCCTCACCTCCCCAGCCCTAACTCTAAAATCACCAAAGAAATGGAAAGGAAAAGGGCCAACTGGGGGTGGGGGCAGTACAGCAAGGCATGGTCCTCTCTGACATCCTTCCTCCCATAAAGCAAAAAAGAAAAATCTCTATTTTGAGAATATAAGGCTATGTAAGTATACATTTATGTTTCTATAATTAAGTTATATAAATTATACATTAATGTAATTTGTTCATTAATTAATATAATTTAATTATGTAATTCTAAAGCTCTCAAAAAATGAAATCAGGCCCAGATGTTTACTGGGAAATGCTACTAAACACAGAAGAATCAACACCAAGTTTCTGCAATCTCTTTTAGCTCACTGAAGAGGAAAGAACATTTTCTAACTTAGTTTATGAGGCTGGTATTACCCTGGTACTAAAATCAGGCAATATAAGCCAGGCGCCAGTGGTTCACACCTGAAATCCTAGCTCATTGGGAGGCTGGGATTGGGAGGTTCAAGGTTCAAGGCTAGCCCAGGCAAATAGTTTGTGAGACTCCCGTCTCCAAAATAACCAGAAAAAATTAGGCTGGAGGTGTGGCTCAAGTGGTAGAGCACCTGCTTTGGAAGTGTGAAGCCCTGAGTTCAAATCTCAACCTCACAGAAAAAATTAAGCAAGACATTTTTTTTCTTTTCCTTTTCTTTCTTTCTTTCTTTCTTTTTTTTTTTTTTTTTGCAACACTGGGATCAAATCCAAAGCCTAACACTTGTTAGACAAATGCTCTACCACTGAACTACACCCTAGCCCAGACAAAGACAGTATGTATACATTTTTTTTCAAAAAACTACAGACCAAATATATAGATACAAAAAATCTTCAATAAAATATTAGCAACACAAATATAATGACATATAAAAAAGGAATTTTGCCTATAAGCCTAGCTATTTGGGAAGCTAAGATCAGAAGAATTGTGGTTCAAAGTCAACCCAGGCAAAAAATTCACAAGACCCCATCTCAACCAATAGCTGGGCACAGTGATGCATGTCTGTCATCCCAGCTATGGCAGGAAGCCTAAAATGGGTGATTGTGGTTCAGGCTGGCCTATGCAAAAAATGAGACCCTATACCAAAAATGACCAGAGTAAAAAGGGCTGGAAGTATCACTCAAGCAGTAGAGTGCCTGCCTTGTAAGCATGAAGCCCTGAGTTCAATCCCCAGTACAGCTATACACAAAAAAATTATGTATCACAAGTGTTATGCAAGGCCAGTTCAACATTTGAAAATAGTTAATATCATCTACCATATAAGCAAGTCAAAGAAGAAAAGCCATATAATCATATCCATTGACACAAAGCATTTATAAACCTAATATTCATGGTTAAATCAAAACAAAATAAATATTTCTTCAAGTTAAGAAGAAAGTTATCTCAACTTAACAAAGACCATCTATGCACACACAAAAAAAAACACCCTACAGCTAAATCTTATTTAATGGTGAGAGACTGAATGCTTTCTGGCTAAGATCAGGAACAAGCACCCATCACTCTTATTCAACAGAGTACAGGAAATTCTAGCTATTGTAATAAGGCAAACAAAAGAAGCTAAAAGAATACATTTCAGAAAGGAAGTGGTAAAACTCTCCAAATTGGCAAATGACATATTAGACTATGTAGAAAGTCTCATTGAATCCAGAACAAAAACAAGCCCTGAAACTAAAAAACAGGTTCCATGACACAAGATGAATATAAAAGCTGCTTGTATTTCTGTAGACTAGCAATGAACATTAGCACAGAAATTAAAATTACAATCACTAAAAAGAATAAATCTAACAACTCTAACAAAATATATCCAAGATTTCTATGGGGCAAACTTCCCAGTGTTGATGTAAGAAGTCAGTGGAAGTCTAAATGAATGGAGAGAATACCATATTCATGGATTAAAAAACTCAACATGGGTCAGATGGCAGTTCCCCAAACAGGTTGTGTGATGTGTGTGTGTGTGTGTGTGTTAATTTAGATAAGCTTTTTCTAAATTTTATTTTAAAGAACTGTGGAACTGGAATAACTGAAAGCATGGTTTTGTTTAGGTTGGTTGGGTTTGATTCAGGGAACTGAATCCAAGAGCTTGTGCAAGCTAGACATGAGCTCTACCAATGAGCTACACTCCAGCCCCAACTAAAACATTTTGGAAAACAAGAATAAAGAAGAGGAATCAATCTACCCAAGACTTAACAGTAATTAAGACTGTGGTGTTAGCAAAGATATAGGTAGGTCATTGGAACAAAACAGAGATCCCAGAAACAGATTCACACAAACATGCTATTTGATGAAGGTACAAAGCAATTCAGTAAATAATACTGGAACATTTGGGCGTCTATAGGGAAAAAAATAAACCTCAACCTTAAACTCACACTTCTTTTTTTTTTCATTTTTCTTTTATTATTCATATATGCATACAAGGCTTGGTTCATTTCTCCCCCCTGCCCCCACCCCCTCCCTTACCACCCACTCCACCCCCTCCCGCTCCCCCCACTCAATACCCAGCAGAAACTATTTTGCCCTTATCTCTAATTTTGTTGTAGAGAGAGTATAAGCAATAATAGGAAGAACAAGGGGTTTTGCTGGTTGAGATAAGGATAGCTATACAGGGCATTGACTCACATTGATTTCCTGTGCGTGGGTGTTACCTTCTAGGTTAATTCTTTTTGATCTAACCTTTTCTTTAGTTCCTGGTCCCCTTTTCCTATTGGCCTCAGTTG